GAAATACATGGAGTCATTTTGCATATAATGTACTGTCTAATTTACTTCTGTTGGATGTCATTTTATGTAATTTACCTTTTGATTATGTAATATTACTATGGGGATTTACCATATTTTATCTAACTAGTCCCTTCATGAATATTTTTCGCATGTAAAGAACAGAGTTAGTAAATGCATTTTTATAGACTTCTTTTGAGAATTAATACAAATTTCTAGAAATTATTTTGCTAGGTCAACGGGTATATATGTATTTTATATTTTATAGGCTTGCTTTTGGGTAGGTATTGCTAGATTCTTTCTCTAGTCTAAACTCTTAACCAGAAGGTTACAATGTGTCTTTTTTTTTTCAACCTTGCTGAAGCTTAATATTAGTATTTAAAAAAGAACTTGTCACTCTACTATGCATTTTTTATTACCCAGTATTTGAATAAACATGTTTAACTATTTGTGTTTATTCTCTAAATTGCTAATTTGCGTGCTTTGCTTTTTGTTTTTTGTTTTTGAGGCAAGGTCTCACTGTGTAGTTGAGACTAAGCTGGAACTCACTATATAGCCCAGGCTGGTCTCGAAATCACAGCAATCCTCTTGCCTCAGCTTCCCGAGTGCGCCACCATGCCCAGCTGCTTTTTCTTTTTTCTTTTTGCAGAACTGGTTATTGAGCCCCAGTGTCTTTACATTTATTACTACTACTACTACTACTACTACTACTACTACTACTACTACTACTACTACTACTACTACTACTACTACTACTACTACTACTGCTGCTGCTGCTGCTGCTGCTGCTGCTGCTGCTGCTGCTGCTGCTGCTTTTATTTTTGAGACAGGGTCTACCTATCTATCCTAAATGGCCTTGAACTTTTCAGTGATCTGCCTGTCCCAGACTCCTGACTGTTGGGATTATAGGTTTGTGCCACCGTGCCAGGCTCTCTCTCATACTTTTACACAGAACTGTCTGTATTTGGAACCCAGTTGCTTTATATGCCTAGCACTGATAAACTCACCATTTACCTACCCATCTGTCTCTGTTTACTTCTTTTTGTGTGTCTGCCTGTCTTTCCACCCTTTTTTTCTCCACACTTGATTTTTGTTTTGGCTTATTTTAAAAATTATTGTATGTATGTATGTATGTATTTGAGATGGTCTCACTATGTAGTTGAGGCTGGCCTTGAACTTGTGATCTTGCTGCCTCAGCCTCCTGAGTGTGAGATTACAGGTGTGCTCCACCACTCCCGGCTACACACCTGCTTTTTTGAGGGAATCATTTGAAAGTAGCAGGATCATGCTGCTTTAGCCTCCATACATCAGTATATGTATATTTTCTTTTCTATGAATTAGGATGTGTTTCTTTAATAGTACAGTCATCAGAAATCCACATTTATCATTTGTGCTAGTAGTAACTCAGGTATCACTAACTGTTCCAATAATGTCCTTGATTGTAGTTTGAGTCTACCTAGTGTAGGACCCATTCCATGATCACCCATTGAATCTGTGGGACTGAACTCCAGCCCTTGCCCGTGCTAGGCAAATTGCGCACCAAGTTCCACATTTAGTTTTCATGGTATCTTTGGTTTGTTTGTCTCTCCTTGTTCATAGCACTGCTGTTTTGGAAGAGTACAAAGCATTTATTTTGTACATATTATGTCACTCCTTTTAGGGTCTTTGACAGTGAGCCATTTTAGGTTCTGGCTCTGCTCCTGTTCCTGTTCCTGCTCCTCCTGCCCCTCGTGCTCCCCTCCTGCCCCTCCTGCCCCTGCCCCTGCCCCTGCCCCTGCCCCTTTTTTGAGACAGAGTCTCACTGCAGTTCAGGCTGGCCTTGAACTCACTGTGTAGCCCAGCCTAGCCTCAAACTCCCGATTCTCTTGCCTCAGCCTCCCAAGTGCTAGAGTGATGTGTGTTCACCACCACGCCAGGTTCAGGGTTGTGCATTTTTGTCATGTCAAGGTGCTTGATGACAGTTTGTGACATCATAGATGTAATTATATAGCATCACGTGTTTAGGGTGGATTGTGGATTTTCCTCTGTAAAGTTGTTAAAATTTTTGGAGGTGTAATTTGGATTTATAGAACTATTGTTCCCCATCAGAACTAGTGTTAATATGCAGTGCTAATTCTTGCCTCATTAGATTACTCTGATGAGGGCTGGGGTGGTAAGAGTATTTGTCTAGCAGGAGTGGAGTCCTGGGCTTGGTACCTAGTGTCTCAGGAAAAAGGCAAAACTATTATTGTTATTGTGGTTACAAAGTAAGTATTTTAAAAACTTTTTGGGGGGATTATTGCTGTTTTTTGGAGGGGTGGAAGGCAAGACAGGGTCTTGCTAAGCAGTCCAGGCTGGCTTTGGACTAACTATGTAGCCCATGGTGGCCTCGAACTTGCAACAGTCTTCGTGCCTCAGCCTCCCAAGTGCTGGGATTATAGGCATGTGCCACCACGCTCAGTTATTGTCTTTTGAAACAAGGTCTTGCTTATGTAGTCTAGACTGGCCTTGAACCCACTGTGTAGCGCAAGATGGACTTGAATTCAGAATCCTATTGCCTCAGTCTCCTGAGTGCACCACCACACCAAACAGTCAGAGTTCTTAGATTTAAGAAAGAAATGTACACAGCCAGTTTGTCTGCCCTCTTTCTTCCGTACATCCATCTATAAAATGGGTTCATATAGTCTTGTATTATTATTTGGATCTTTTTTGTATTTTCCGTGCTGGTGATTAAATCCAGGTAAGTACTTTACCACTGAGTTACACCCCCAGCCTGTAAACATGCAGTACGCATTACTAAATTTTTTTTTTTTTTTTTTTTTTTTGGTACCAGGACTCAAACTTGGGTCCTTGCACTTGAGAGGCAGGCAGTACCACTGAGCTACCACTGAGCTAAATCCCCGGCCCAAATTTTTATTTTCATAAGTAAAAATTTTCTAACCCTTGTAGGGTTAAGTCCACTCAGATATGATAAAGCTTAACCCCAGATAACTACTAAAAACTGAAATCACACCTATAATCCTAGCTACTAGGGAGGCAGTGGCGAGAAGATTGAAAGTTAGAGGCCAGTCCTGAACATCTTAGTGAGACCTTTTTTCAGTGTCCAAGATCATTGAAAAAGAGTAGCCCTTACAGTAATTGTTTTTGGCTTCGCCAAAAATCAGTTTATTTGCCAAGTATTATGGCATCTACCTGTAATCCAGCGACCGGGAAGGCTGCTCAAGAGGATTGCAAGCTTGAGATGAGCCAGGGCAATTTATGAAGACCCTGTTTCAAAATTAAGGGACTGGGGATATAGCTCAGTACTCCCTGATTTAATCCCCAGTACCACAAACAAACAGCAACAAAAAACCCCAGCCAGTTAAATTTGTGTGATATATTTCTAGCCTTTCTACTCTATTCTGTTGATCTGTGTCTGTAAATTCAATTTGTGAGTTATCCATAAAGTGCTTAACAGCGGTATTTGCCTAGAGGCTTTTGTAGCTGAAAGTATAATTCTGTGGCAGTGTGGTAATCTATGGAAGAGGGCACCTTAGAAAACATTGTTCTAGCTGGTGCGTGGAACCTTAGCACTTTGGGAGACTGAGGTAGGAGAATCTCAAGTTCAAGGCCAGCCATTGAAGTTTAACAACTTAATGGGGAACTGTCTTCAAAATAAAACATAGAGAAGGTTGGGGGTGGAGCTCAGTGCAAAGGGCCTGTGTTCATGTCCCTATGTAGATAAATGGTAGTACAGATTGAGCTACCTGGGAATCAAGTGCTGGATATATTTGATGTTGAATATAACACTTTATATAAGTTTGTTTTTCAAGTCAGAAACTAAATTATTAATAGAAAAGTCAATACCTGTGGATTTTGCTACTTGGGGATCATTTTGGAAAATGTTTTGGTTATGGAGAATCGTTCTTTACAGAAGATGTACAACACTGACTAGAAATTAGGTTCTGGACAGTGGCTGATTTGTATACTGTTATTTTGATGATACCTGAATGCTCTGCCTTCAGTGTTGAACAGTGGATCTGCCAGATTATTTGAGTTAAACATTCCCCAACTCCTCCTCTCCCCTGCCACCCTTTGTGTGTGGTAGTGGAGACTGAACCTAGGGCCTCTTGCCTGTCTGAGCTACATCCAATCCCTTTTATTTTGTTATTTTGATAGAGGGTTTTGCTAAAACTACGTAGGCTGGGCTTGAACTTGTGATCCTCCTGCCTTGGCCTCAGAGTAGCCAGGATTTCACAGGTGTGCACTGCTGGCCTTAGCTGACCTCTGAGTTTTTCAATCTTGGAAGTACTGCAGCTTAATGAGGCAGTATTTAATGGAATTTTCAGTGGCCTGCCAAAAACCAACACTGAGGCTGAGTGTAGAGTGCACCTCTGTAACCCAGCATCCTGGGAGTTTGCAGCAGGGTGATCATAAGTTCAAGTCCCACCTGTGCATCTTAGCAAGTCCCTGTCTCGAAATACAAAATAAAAAGGGCTAGGGATGCACCTCAGTCTGAAGAGGCCCTGGGCAGTTCAGTCCCCAGTGCCAGCACACACGAGTGCACACACACACACACACCCCCCACACCAATACCAAGCCCATCTTCTGTAATACTTTAACAAATTTATAAGGAAATTCCTTACAATCTAATACTGATTTCTTTACCTGTTAAAGCAATGCTGAAGATTTTGAAGTAGCAATGTGTGTTTAAGATAAAAATATTTTAAATGTAGGAAGCCAAGTGACAGGATATCAAAACAATGTAGTGCTCTGATTACAGTGTAGTGCTCTAATTAAATTACTTAATTTAAAACCAGATCTGGGAAGAAAATCCCACTTTTTCTCCTTGCATATAGTGGAAAAGTAGTAAACTGATTAATAGTGAAACTTGAGTTGTATTTTCCTGCTATACCCTGGCAAGCATGTGTTAGTTTGGATAACTCAGTTTATTTATAAAGTGAGCCTCTTTTCTCAAAGAAGCCCCCTAACACTTTGTAGAATCCCTGACGTCCTTTTACACTTTCTCTCTTACTGGTGTGTAGTGCGTCGTTGGTGGCTGCAACGCCAGCTTTGCGTCTCAGGGAGGGCTGGCTCGCCATGTACCCACGCACTTCAGTCAGCAGAACTCCTCGAAGGTTTCGAGCCAGCCAAAGGCCAAAGAAGAATCTCCTTCTAAAGCTGGAATGAACAAGAGGAGGAAGTTAAAGAATAAAAGACGACGTTCATTACGTAAGTGTTGCGTTTGGAAAATCTGAATGTATTAGAAGGTTGTTATATCTTTGCCTTTCAGGCAAATCTAATTTTTTCTGTTTTTACAGTTTCCATTCAAAGTAGTCAGGATACCTGTCACTGTGGGAATTCATTGGAATGTGTGCAGCATCCAAGGGAGTATATGTGACCTTAGAGTATAAACTCTGTAGAATGAGATTTGGGGGGCTACTTTGATTCTGTTCTGAACTAAGAAAATGAAAGCATAGCTAATTTAGTATTTGCAGGGATATTTTAGAAAATCTGAGCTTGTTAAGGGTAAACTTCAAGAGAAAGCTAAGTAACTGATTAACTCTAAAATGTAACATACACGTATGGTAAAAGGATTTTAATGGAGCCTGTGAGTCCGCAACAGTGTCTTGTAATGCATACGTACTGTGGTTGTGTGCTTATTTACAAGGTTATGACATTTAGGACAGAGAATAACTAGACAGTACGGCTTGCAAATATTGGAAGCAGGAATTAACTTTTTAACTTCAGAGCCTAGCATTATACCTGGTTCTTCACGTCATCTACTAATACCATATATCCTCAGTGAAGAAGTGTAAATGGGGGCCAGGGGTTCAGCTCAGTGGCACCTCTCTTGCCTTGTAAGCAGAAGGTCCTGAGTTCAATCCCTGGAACAAAAAGGAATTGTAAGTGGGTGAACGAATGAATGAGGTTACCAGAAAAGCTCCAAGGCAGGGTGGCATGGCAAAGGGGCATTGCAGAGGAGAATCAATTCATAGCAGGTAGAAGGCAGCAAAGCATCAAAGTAGTGAAGAAGCCAGCAAGCTACAAGTGACAAGCAGCAATCCTCTTTTTGTAACTGACCTTGTATTCTGTCCAAGTTCCCACCCTTAGGGCAGGTAGCACTTACACTTAGGGTGGGAGAGCCTTGATCCTAACATTGCACCATGAATCAATCCCAGCATTGAACCCGTGAGAGAGAGAGTGTGTGTGAGTGTGTTTTGTGTTTTGGAGACAGGGTCTTGCTGTCTTAAATGGCCTTAAATTCGCTAGCCCAAATTGACCTCAAACTCAAGGTGATCCTCCTGCCTCAGCCTCCCAAGTGCTGGGATTACAGGTGTGCACCACCACATCTGACTCCAGCATCACATTCTTGATCCCAGCAGCACACACTGTAGATCCACCTCTGAAAAGCCCCATCTATCACAGCGTGAGGCTTTGGGGGAGCATCCAGATACGAGACAGCAGCATTTTACTTCTCGGGATTTGATTGGAGTATAGATGAGAATCTGGACACTAATGAAGTCCAGAGCAGTTCTCATTCATGTTTTAGATACTATGAAGCTACTGTGGACAAAGGAACAAACTGCAAGTGAAAAACTTTTTTTAAAGTCACAATTTTATTTTGGACATAAAAACATTTTCTTTTCATCACAGTTGGCTGTTGAATCAGATTTAGAATCTGTTTCCCTTTTGACTTCATTTATAAAAACAAATAACAGGGCCGGGAATATAACTCAGTGGCACTGCACCTGCCTGACAAGCACAAGGTCCTGAGTTTGGTCCCCAGTACCAGAAACAAAACAAAACAAAACGAAAACATATAGGTAGTTTTACTTGAGTGTTAATTTGAGTAGCTTGCAGATGCACATAGAAAAGCTGCCAAATATGTATTATGGTATTTAAAACTAAAGGCAGCTTTCTCACCTGTATCATCTAACCACATTGTCGTTTTGGTCTCAGTGTTCGCACAGAATTTAGCTTTTTGTTCAGATCCATTTGGCAGTGCTGACACAGTTTGCTACTTGTAAAGAGAAGAGAGGGCTCAGTTAAACACCCAGTTCTTGCTTAGAAGTGGAGTATGCGCCTGCTTAAGTATATGTTGCTGTCAGTTGTGGTATCTTCCCCAGTATTGGCGACAGCAGTGAGACAGGCAGGGTAGGGGGAGTGAAGGAAGAGTATGTGGGTGAAAAAACCCTTTTGGTCAACCATTTAGTTGGAGAGTAGATTAATTCCTGAACTTTGAGTAATTCCAAGCCTTTTACTTTGGAGAGCCACAGTCAACAGTACTGTGATTTGTTTTTTTGTTTGTTTGTTTGTTTGTTTTTTTGGTACCATGGATCGAACTCAGGTCCATACGCTTGTGAGACAGGCCACCGAACCACTGAGCTAAATCCCCGGCCCGACAGTACTGTGATTTGAATTGGTCTTGTAGCTGTATAACCACATGATTTCATTACCTTTTAAAGCCATCTGCTGTGGAGAACTAAACATCACTTGCTAGATATGGTGGCATGCTCCTGTGATCTCAGCTAATTATGGGACCAAGGCTCAGGGACAGCAAGCTTGAGGCAATCTTGGTCAGCTTAGTGTGACCTTGTCTCAAAAATAAAATGGAAAGGGCTGGGGGTGTAGCTCAACACTGTGTTCATTCCCAAGTGCTGGGGAAAAATCATTTTCTAGTAGCCTTGGCTGTGGATTTAGCTCAGTGGTTCCACCGCCTGCTTCATAAGCACAAAGTGCCAAGTTCGAGTACCCCAGTACCAAAAAAAATATTCAGTACCATTTTCTAGTATCTTATGTAGTTCAAGAAGGCCATTTTTACTTAATTAGTAGGGAAAAATACATTATAAATAGAACTACAGCATAAATAATTTTGTTTGATAACATTTTAGAAGTTTATTATAATTTTTTTGGTAGGGGGTCTTTCTATATTGCCCAAGCTGGCGCTGAACTCAGCATCCTTTTATCTTAGTTTTCTGAGTAACTAGGGTTATAGGCATATGCTGCCACACCTGAATAAATATATCCTTAAAAGTGGAAATGAATAGTACAGTAATGCTTTTCATTTAGTGATTCAGAAGTATTTTAGCTGTAAGTTGAAAATACTTAATGCATTTCCTAAGAACCACTGAGCTAAATCCCTGGCCCTAACTTTCACTACTTTATACCTAATTTAGTCTTTTGTGATTTCCAGAGGTTTTCAGTTGTGTATTTAATCAGTTAAAAAAATTCTGGGGCACACAATCTGTTTTTTTTGAATCTCACTATGTAGTTGAGATTGACCTGGAACTCACTATGTAGCCCAGGCTGGTCTCAAATTCAGGGATCCTCCTGCCTCAGCCTCCTGAGTGCTGAGATTACAGGTGTGCACCACCACTCCCGGCAGGGGCACACAATCTTAACATGTAGTATATACATTACACACAGATGATATTAATGCACATTATAAAGTAATTCCAGAAAACAGTAGAAAAAGTATAAAATGACAAATGTTATTTGCTTTTACTTTTTTTTTTTTTTTTTTTTTTTGAGATAGGGTCTCACTATGTAATTCAGGCTGGCCTTGAGCTCACTGTGTAGCCCAGGCTGGACTCAAGGCCATCCTTCTGTCTCAGCCTCCTGAGGGCAGGGATTGTGTGTGCCCCTTGCCTGGCTGCTTCTTTTACACTTGTGGATCACAGTACATACCTGCTTTGGCAACTGTTGTTCTGGTTTGACTTTGTGTGTATGCACATGGACTGAAATTAGGGCACTGAGTATGTTGAATATGTACTCTGCCACTGAGATGTATGTACACACACGCACCCTTCTAACAATGGAGATTAATTACCTACCTAAGTCTGGATGCATAAACTGAGGATTGATGACTTTCTTTTGGTGATGGTACTGGGGATTGAACCCAGGACCTTTGCACAGCTACCTTTCTCCCCCAGTCCCTCGTTAATTTTGAGACTGGGATCTTGCTGAGTTGCTCAGGCTCATGTCCAACTTTGAGGTCCTTGTGCCTTGGCCTCCCAGAGTGGTGGGACTACAAGTATGTGCACCTTTCAGGCTCTTTTCCTTATCATAAATTTTAATGATGACTTCAGTGCTTGATTCACAGCACATACACTAAAATTGGAACGATACAGAGAAGATTAGCATGGCCCCTGCACAAGGATGACATGCAAATTCATGAAGTATACCATATATTTTTTTCCAAATGGTGTAATTGAGAGTGTGAAATAGGAAGAAAATGGCCAAAGGGGAAGTGGGAAGGGGAGGGAAAAGGAAATAAGGGACAAGAAAAAAATGTGGAAAAGGAAAAAATGGAAACAAAGTCTTTGTAAATAAGGAAGGGTGAAAGGAGAGCAGGGGTATTTGGAAAAAATAAGAACCAAGACATATCACATAAAGGTACAAGATCACAATGATAAATATAACTGTATTGTTTGCTTTAAATGTACCAATAAACTTAATGGGGGAAAAAAAAGGTTACTTCAGTGTTTCATTCTCAATAAGCGTTGATGGATATGAATGATCTAGTGCATATTTCTCTTTTTTTCTCTTTTTCTCCCACCAGCTCCCATGAATAGAACTCAGGACCTGATGCTTATGAGGCAGGCACAGTGGCAGTGAGCTAAATCCCCAGCCCTAAGTGAATATTTTTCTTAGGACAAAGGATGTATTTGGAAAATGCGGCAAAACACCTCATTTTTCCCTGTAGCCACAAAAGAGAAATTTGTTTCTCAGGATTGGGCAAAATTATCGGTGCTCTCTTCCAATTTCAAATACATTTTTCTTTCCCCCGTTTCCCTGGTATTAGGAATCGAACTCAGGACCTTGTGTTTGCAAAACAGGCACGATGCCAGTTTGCTCCATCCCCAGCCCTACATTTTTCTTTCTGATTGTCTATTATAATTGTATTCTTAGTCTTATGGGTTGTGCTGGTTCCTTACTGGATAGTGTTTTGCTTATTTGTCTTAAGGAAAAATCCAGTAACAAAGGGCTGGGGATTTAGCTCAGTGGTGCCACTGCCTGCCTTGCAAGCACAAGGTCCCAAGTTCGATCCCCAGTACCCATTGTCCCTCACGAAAGCTTGGTATATTGTGTAGGTGTCTTGACAACTCTATGAATAGGCTTAGTGTAGTAAACCAGCATACATGTAACTGAGAATGTACTACCCAGAAATTAAGCTCATTTTTTTTTGTTGTTGTTAGTAAAATTGAATTTTCACTTATCTTGAAAATTTCATGTTATTAATCTTACAAATGTAAAATAACCAACTGTTGGGTTTTTTGGTTTTTCTTTGTTTTTGTTTTTGGTAAAATTAGATCATTAGACTCAACGGTAAGAACAGCACACTTTAGCTGGGGATTTAGCTCAGTGGTACTCCACATGCCTCACAAGCACAAAAGTCCTGAGTTTGATCTCTCATATCAAAAAAAAGCACAATTGATATAGTGGGATGAAGATAGATATTTGAAGAAAACTTTACTGCCTAACTTTGTGATCACAGTTTCTTTCTAAATGTGAAAGTTTATTTTAAAAACATGACTTTAAATTGCTTTGTGATTTACAAAGCATTTTCACAAGCAGTTTTGTATGATCTATAGCTGTTTTGTTTTCCTTTTATAAATGGTCTAATGTAGGTTAGGCCTGTTACTCTAGCACTCTGGGAGACTGAGGCAGGAGTTTGAGGCCAGCTGGGTGATTTAGCGACTTAGTGAGACCCCATTTCAGAAAAAAAAAACAGAGCAAGCTGGGCATGGTGGGTCACACCTGTAATTTCAGCACTAGGGAAGTGAGGCAGAAGGATCTCTGTGAGTTCGAGATCAGCCGGGGCTACATAGTGAGTTCCAGGTCAGTCTCAACTACATAGTGAGACCCTGTCTCAAAAAAAACAAACCAAAACAAAAAAACAACCTTATAAAACAACAACAAAAATGGGTTGGGATATAGTACAGTGGGAAAGCCCTGGTTTCAACCCCCAGTATGGGGGATGTTAATGGAGATGGGCTTAATCTTAGTGAAGCTCATGACCGTGGTGCCCATAGTCAGAGCCCACCTCAGTGGGGGAAAGTATTTACAGTATTCTTAAATTGTTAGAATAATTGTTTTCAATCAAGAAGATACTTGACAAAACCTCAGTAAGATCATCAGGCTGTCACATTTGGAAACTGACTTCATTTGAAAATAAAATGTTTAAGGGCTGAAGATTTAGCTCAGTGGTGCTGCTGCTGGTCTGGCAAGCGCAAGTTCCTGAGTTGGATCCCCAGCGGTGGTGGGGGTGATGTTTATAAGACCTGTTGCTTGCTTATTTTTGTCTATGGTGAGTTCGACTCCAGTGTTGTGGATAGATGGAGATTTTGAAAATGTATAGCAGTGGCACCGAGGAGAGATGATGAAGCTCTGTGAGAAGACATAACTGCACTATGGTCGTGAGGTCTGAGGCTGGCACCTCACGCCACAGGGGAGAAGCGGCCCGCGTCCACTGAGCTGGAATTGTGCTTTTGTACACCTTTATCTTCCCAGCCAGAGTCCTCATTTTGAAAGCAAAAATGTTTTTCATTGAACTAGATAGGTGCTTGTTAATTGCTTGTTTACAATTATAGTTACAGTGTTTCTTGTACTTACCTTTGTGGGAAACAAGTCTATTTGGCTGCTTTTCTAAACATTTTTTACCTTTTCTATGTTGACTTTTAGCACGACCACATGACTTCTTCGATGCACAGACACTGGATGCGATAAGACATCGAGCCATATGCTTTAACCTCTCAGCGCATATAGAAAGTTTAGGGAAGGGACACAGTGTTGTTTTTCATAGTACTGTAAGTATTTGTTTTTTCTTTCAAATTACGCAGATTTGCAAAAAGATATATTTTGACTTTCACTGTCATTTCTAAATTATTCAAAATTCAAGAAAACTTTCAAAAATTCACAAAGCCTTTTGATGGGGATGGCTTTAATGTTAGCAAAACACATATTTGTATGGCAAATGGCATGTTGGGATGTGTGCATCCGATTCATTACCTGCATTGTTAGTTATGAAGCAGATAGTTCTGTAATACTGTGTGTGCTGGTTTTTTGAGATAAGCCTTGCTGTTCAGTTCAGGCTGGTCTGGAACTCACTTTGTAGTCCAGGCTGGCTTTGAACTCAAGGTGATCCTCCTGCCTCAGCCTCTGGAGTACTGGGATTTTATGTGGGTGCCACTACACCTGGCTGCCTACAATTTTATATTTATGGTTAAACTGAATATTTTATTTTTTATTTATTTTTGGTACTGGGGATTGAACTCAGGACCTTGAGCTTGCAACGTAGGCAGTAGAACTACTGAGGCAAATCCCCGGCCCCTAAACTGAATATTTTAGCCCCTTGTTGAATTTTTTAGGAGTATTAGGGTGCTGCTAGCATTAGGCTGGTGTTTTTCCTGAAGTAAAGTGGATGTCTTTTCTGATTTCTGGTTTTATTTCTTAAATTAGAATATTGGACCCCTTCTGCATTGTTTACACCCTGTATGTTGTTTCTCACACTAGCTCGTGTTACACACATCTACTAATGTGGTTTTTTTTTTTTTGGTACTGGGGATTGAACTCGGGTCCTTGCATTTACAAGGCAGGCCACCGAACCGCTGAGCTAAATCCCTGGCCCTTAGCTAATGTTAAATAAAAATAATGCTGACTACCACATTAAAGCTTCATGAGGGAGTGGATTCTAAAACAGTTGGTTCTACTGGTGTATCCCCAGGTGCCTAGGATTATAGTAGTACATGGTCCAGTGTATTTGCTGAGTGAATTAGCTTTTCAGTAATAGAAAGGTAAAAACACTAAATTTGAAAATGAGGTAAGTACATTTTGTTTTTGTTTAACAACAGTTAGTAATTTTTTTCCCTTGCCATGTCTCTTGCCAGCCATTTTGTTACATACTTTTAAATTTATTTTACATTTTTTGTTTTTTTGCGACAGGGTCTTACTTATAGTTTAGATTGGCCTTGAGCTCACTAAGTAGCCTAGCTTAGCCTGCTGCCTCAGCTTCCCAAGTGCTGGGATTACAGGCATGTGCCACCATGCCTGGCTATTTAGTCATTTTTAAATTGATGTAGGTAAATTAGTAAAGATAAATTATAGACCAGGCTCGTGGCAATTTGAATTTCTGAAAAGAACAAGTATTTAATTTTGGTTATTGAAATATGACATATATCAAATTTGGGTTACTTTTATATTTTATATTTCATTCAAAATCATGAGAAGTTAAATATACTCACTGTTGATAAGGTGTTTTGTTAAATTCAATTTCTTTTTTCCCATCTTACATAATAATGACATTGTTTTACATTTTAGTTTTCCATCTGTATGTATTTCCTAATTATTTGGCTTTTCTCTTACTTTTGCCTCCTTATTTTAATGTATGTGCTCATTATGTTGGCTTGTCATTGTCATAAAGTCCCTGACATAAACAACTCAGAGGAGGAAAGATGGAGTTCGGAGGTTTCAGGCCAGGTCCACTTGTCTCATTGAAGTGGATCTGAGGTGGAGCAGAGCATCATGGATCAAAGGGATGGTGGAGCAGGGCCTCTAGCTTCATGGCAGCCAGGAAACAGATTGAAAGAACAGATAGGAAGGGACCAGGGACCTGCTGATGCCCCCATGGTCTCACCTCCTGGGCACTCTTTGACTAGGCCCTACCTCCTGTTGCCATCAGCTCCTGGGAATACCACCAGCTTACGATCTCATCTATGGATAATCCACCAACAAAGTTAAAGCTTTAACACCTCTAAAACTTTGTCTCTGAGCACACAAGCCCTTTGGGGGGCATTTTAGGTCTGTGCCATCACACACATCTTCATTGTTCTCTCTGCTCCTCTTGAGTTCTCTGTCATTCTTACTTTAGCTCCATGTGTGCCACCTACCTTCTGCTCTTTTTCAAAAAGCTGTGATCTCAGCACTCGAGCCACAGAGGGAAGATTGCAGTGAGCTCGAGGCCATCATGGGCTACATAATGAGTTCAAGGCCAGCCTGGACTGTGTAAGTGAGACCCTGTTTCTGAAAACAAAAGTAAAGAAAAGGATAAAAAGACCAAAGGAAATGTTCCAGTAGTGTGTATTTGTGGATTATCACTGTAAGAATGAAAATACTGCTTAGCTACTTGCTAAAAAAAAAAGATATTTTAGTATTTCACTTTTATGTGGTATAACCTTAGTCTAAAATGGACTCTAGGAAGTCTAATTTACTGAGATGCATTCAGATTGAGTAAGCTGAGAAGATAACCAATAGTGGATTATATTTATGGATTAAATGTAAACAGAGGCAAGCTTGACCTAAGGCAAGCTGTGAAGTGTGTCATATAAAATTCTTGCTGTGTTTAGTTGCCACACAATCAGTGTTGCTCCCTATTTCAAAATTTTTAGACAGTGAAACTAGACACTGGAAATACTGTATGCTTTTTCTAATATGATACAGTATAGAGGTATATTACCATTTCATAGGGTTGTGGGCTTCTATTAGCCCCATTCATGGATTCTAGGGTGAGGACCCTTGTGCTTTTTAGAATAAAATGTGTAGTATTGAAAGGAAGGTGGAAAAGCAGTATGTGGGTATCAGTAAACTCTGGGCAAGTTTTTAAATAGGAGTAGAATTGTGGATGTTTGAAATGAGGTAAGGATATGAGAGCAGAAGAATTGAAGACATGGAACGAAAGGTGGAGTAAGAAATTGGACACAGAGGCAAGAAAGCTTGTCTTAGGTTGTAAGACATGAGTGTGTGAATTTGAACTTGAAATCCATACACTATATGTAACATTTTTTCCAGAGAACATAGAAAATACAGTGTGTTAAGTGGGATGAGAGAGTTGGAGGAGAAATATTACAGTGGACAGAGGTTAATGATTGTGCGATTGGGATGTCAAGATCAGAGGCTTGCCCAGCAGTGATGTTTGAAGTTTGTAAACATAGATCTATCAGATGAGATCCGGCGCGTTCAGGGTGGTATGGCTGTTGACAAACATAGATTTATGATGTAGTCAGTCAGATACCGCTTTTGCCTTTTGTTGTGGTGGTGCCAGGAAATGAATGCAGGACTTTGTCCATTGCTGGGCAGGAGCTCTACCACTGAGCTGCATTCCCAGCTCTCAGAAATGTCTTTGGAAAAAAATAAACAACTTTCAATAAAATGTAGTCACTAATACCAGAGTGTTGACATTTGTGTTAATTTGTTCATTCACTTAAATACTGTGGACTTGTTGTGGATCAGGTACAGCACTAGTGATATGTATCAGGGAACAAAATAAGTGAGTAAAACCCCCCTTCCTCTCCCTCAAGAGAATTATGGCTTCACTCTAGTGGAAGAGATGTGATAAACAAGATGAATTGGTAAAATTATAAAAATTTAAGAAGAAGCGAGGGCATGAACTATTTGAATTAAGGAGGTGAACATTTTAGCCAAAGGGGAAAATTTAAAAAAGGGTGTGTGTGAAAATATTGCAGGTACATTTGAAAAACAGTGAGGAGGAGTTGTAACTGGAGAGGAGTGTAGGAGGCAAGGTAAGTAAGACACCCTTACTTGACTGGACACAGAGTGAGGCTTCTGTTCTGTGTAACGGAAGCCATTGAGGCAGCATGGCAGGCATTCTCTAGTTAGGGTTTTATAGCATCCTTAGCAAGGTGAGGTTTATAGTTAAGAAGCTGCGTCCAGTTAAAGTTTACCACTCTGAACTTTGACAGTTGCACTCACACGTGGAACTACTTCAATTGTTAAGATATAGGAAATTCTCATTACTCACAAGTTTTCTGGTGTAGCTTTGCAGTTCTTCCCTGCCTCTGCCTCCTGCCCCAGAGAACCTCCTGATATTTTTCCCCTCTCAGAGGTTTCAGTGTTTTCACTTGGGACCTGCGTTATCCTGGGTGGGGAAAAGGAGATTCATCTTAGACCCTGGGGCGAGAATGATGCAGGATTGGCCCAGTAGTGATGCTCAGGGCCAGACTCTGGACAGCCTTTGAGGTCAATCCTGACAAGAGTTCCAGATGTCAGGTTTGAGAGTGACAGGTAGGGACGACTCACAGTCTCATATCTGGTTGCATGGCCGGTCTGTAGGGCTTCGGTCACACAGCTGTGTCATGCAGATGGGTGGGCACACCAGTTAGGGCTCAGAGAAGTATGGCAGTGATACAAGTGCAGGAGTTTTTAAGCATGCCCAGGGTATTTGTTTCTAGGTGTCAGGCTGGATGCTATCACCTAGAAACTAAGTGTAAATAGAAAAGGGAAAAAGGGTGTAATGACTGAGGCTTGGGCTCACCAAACATTGAATGATTTAATGGACAGTAGATCTGATGAAATGGTGATCTACTAATGAGTATGTATCTCTCCTATCCAAGTATGAGCCAGGCCCAACCCCGCTTAGTTTCCAGATTGATCCAGGGTCTTCCGATGTTAAGGGAAGGGTGCAGTGCAATGCAGGCGTGATGAAAATTGCAGCAGGGGCTAGGGATGTAGCCCAGTGGTAGGCTGATTGCCTAGAGTGCGTGACATCTTGCAGTTGATCCCCAGGGCTTCAAAAGAGGGGGAAAAAGCAGAGAAAGTAAGTAAAAAGAAAAAGGGTACTAATTTGCATATGCTTCTACTGAAGTAGACCTTTGCATGAAATCTTTAGGTTTGTCATGGGAATAAGGATGTCTCCCCACTCCCCCTTAAAAACTATTTCCAAGAAGAGTGAAGGCACTAAAAACAGTGGTGGTGATATTAGGAATCTAAGAGGGAAATTAGAAAATTGCTGGGGGGTCAAAATCTATGAAGATGGAGAGTTTTCTAACGGTTACGAAGTGTGGGAGGACTTAGGGATGTACTTAGGGAAGTTGTAAGTTTCACAGCTGAGCAGAGTGATGCGGACCCACAGTGGTGGTGAAGAAGCAGGGGTGCCCTGGCTGAGGAATCAAGAGTAGTGCCATGTGGGGAATAACTTTACAAGCCAGGAAGACTGATCGATAATTCAAGGTGAGCTAAGTCCCCCTAGGTACATTAGCATGCCAGGTGCGTGAGTTCTCCGAAAATGCAGCTGGGAGGCTTCGGGGAAAGAAGCGTGTGTTAACCTCACTATTTTTTTAGGGGTGTGGAACTGAGCATTCAACCTGGGAATACTGAACCACAATCCAGACCTTTAAAACACTTTAAAAAAAAAGAGAGAGGGGGAGAATTTGAGAGAAGATCTCATTAAGTTGCCCATGCTGCCTTCAAATTTGCTTCCCCCCCCCCTTCATGTAAGGAGTAGCCAGTATTACAGGTGTGTCAGCCACCATGATTTTGTTATATCACTAGAAATGCAAAATGAAAGTTAAGTTTCCTTGTTAGCAAAGTTTTTTGTTTTTTGTGTTTGTTTGTTTTTGGTACTGAGACCTTGAACTTGCTAAGCAGGTGGCGGGATAGCTGAGCTAAAACCCCGGTCCAGCAAAGTTAAGTTTTAAAGGAAACTACCATGCTGATAATGAATCCCCAGCACTACTGGTAATGAAACTCCCTCTCCCCAGGTGTAGTTTTGCCCAGTTTTAATTTGTCTTACTTTTTAAATTAAAATACTTTCTTTCAGGCCTTCTCCAGAAGAGGTCAGCAGAATCCTGGCTACTAGTTAGTTGGCTTACTGTGCTTGGTTGGCTTGCATTGATTTTCTGTCTTCTTTCATTGCAGTGATGTCTTGTTTTAGCACCTTCAGATCTGTCCTTGAGCTGTTTATTAATTTTACTGTCACGTCTAGAATTAGAATGTTTTGTTTTGTTTTCTGCCAGGGATCGAACTCGGGACCTTGTGCTTGCAAGGCAGGCAGCAGCCCACTGAGCTAAATCCCCGCCCCTAGAATTAGAATATTTAACTACAGGATTTTTTTTTTTAATAATAGGGAAAGTGGTCAGTTTTTGTTTCTAGATGTTTTTACTCAGTTCTAATAGAATTTTAGGATGAGCTCATTGTGGGGGGTGGTGTCTGAATCTTATACTTGGTAAGAACCAGCAGTGAGACATATGAATTATGGCCCTGCTGAACATGTTAACCCTAAAGACTGATTGGCTTGTCTTTCATTTGAAGTAAAACCATGCAAGCACAACAAAACTTGAAGAAATGACAAGTGTTTTAGTTGAAAGTAGAGACTTTTTCCTTCCTAGCATATTTTTTTCTTTACTCTGTTCTTTAAAAATACTCCAATTAAGCCTGGGGGTGTAGTTCAGTGGTGGTGGTGGGGTCCTTGCCTATCCTGTGTGAATCCCCAGGTTCAATCCCCAGCACTCAAAAAACAAAACAAAAATAAGACCTGTGTATTCTGTGTGAGGAGGATAGGCATATAAAGCCCTGATAGTGTAACACACTGGTGTAGAGGACACACTCAGTGTTCAGTGGCCCTAGTCTGTGATTGGAGTTAGAAGACTGAGAGTCAGAGATACTTAGAAGGGAGATATATAATATATATGACAATTTATGAATGATTGTGTGTGAGTAGGCAGACGGCACATTTCAGAAGGGCGGTGATCAGGTGGGAGTAAAACCTAGGTATTAATTTTATTTGACTTAACTGAGACTTCTAGTTGTTTCTGTTAATTTCCTATAAGTGGATAACCAAATGGAGCGTTGTGAGCCAGTCCTGCTGGTGCACACTCGGAATCCCAGCTGCTATGGCAGCGAGCAGGAGGACCATCCAAGCCCAGGGCTTCCGAGGCAGCCCGGGCAGCTTAGGGAGAAGCTGTCTTAGAAACCAAACCAAAAGTAAAGCATGTATGTGTGTATGTATATATACATACATAACATTTCAACTGAATATGTGAGCAGGTTTTGAGCAATTAATCTTTTCCTGAAATTCTACCTCACACCCTTATATTTTAGAAACTTTAACATGTCTTTGAAAGGCTGTGAACTGATTTTCTTAAAATCCTGTCTAGTTTATTGTGGATGAAATCATTTGATTCACTGTCATGTGGCCCAGACCTAGAATGGCACCTGGTCTGTGGCAGCCATTTCCTTAGTAAAACATTGCTGCTCGTGCACAGAAACTTGGCAGAGGTGCTTCTGGTACATTAGAAGGCAGACCAAGTCTCATTTTATGCCTTGTCGTTTGGAAGCTATCTTCAAGAGTGGCACGTGGAGTGGGCGGCAGTTGCCCACATACTGCGAGTGACCTTGTCCTGAGTACTCAGTGCTGCAGGGTTCCCCAGGGAAGCAGTACCATTGAATCTGCGCTTTGGAACAGGAGCTCTGGTTACAGATTGGAGAACAGCTTTGGGGGGCCGGAGGAAGCCTGAAGTTAGAGACCTGAACTTGGCTTTTGGCAGCGTGGGTGGAAATAATACTAGATACGAAAAGTAGAGCTGCTAGGTCATGGTGCTCTGGGTCATAGGTCCAGAAGTTTTCACTTTTGAGGTAACATGAATGTCTCCAGAGCATAAAGCTTTTCCAGAATTCACATTTATATCTTTAGATTTCCAAAAGTTGAGTGAACTCATTTTTTACTAAAACTTTCTGTAGGCTGGTGTAATATGAAGTCTAGAGGGTAAGATTCCTATGTGTAGTAGGTTTTAATCCTATGGGAAAATTGAGGTTTACCCACTACAAATTAGGGAAAGGTTATTTATTTATTTATTTTTTTGGTGGGGGAGAAGGTTATTAATGTATCACATCTAGGGTATGGATACTTAAGGGCAACGGTGCTTTTTAACAATACACAAAAGTGATCTTAGAAGTTATTTTTATTTCATCCTTTCTAGGTAATAGCTAAGAGAAAAGAGGATTCTGGAAAGATAAAACTTTTGCTTCATTGGATGCCTGAAGACATGTAAGTATTTGAAATACTGTGCCTAACTAATAAACCTATGAATGATTATTTTCGGTACCCAGGATCCAAACTCATGACCTTGCACTTGTGAGGCAGGCGCAGTACCACTGAGCTAAATCCCTGGCCCTGTTTTATTTTTATGAAATGTTAAGCACAAACATTATTAACTAAATTTAAAAGACTTAGACAAAGTGAAGTATACATTGTTTTGAGGTTGTCAGGATTAAAGAGAATCTGAAAGCAGCAGGAGTATGTGGCTCAAGTTAATAAGCTTTAAACCTCTTGCTTTTAATAAAAAAGCTTCTACTTTTTTCTTTTTGAATACTGGGGTTCGAATGTGTGGCCTCATGTTAGGCATGTGATCTACCAATGAGCTTCATCCCAGTTCTTTTATAATATTTTGAGGTAGGATTTGGCTAAGTAGCCTTGGGTAGCCTGGAACTTGAAATCCTCCTGCCACAATTTCCAGAATAATTGGGGTTATGGGCATGTGGCACCATATACTCTTTTGAGATTTTAAAAATCTTTTTAGGAATTTTTTTTCTTTGGAGGGGTGTCCTTTCTTGCTTTTAGTGAAGGACGTCCTCCTACTCGCTGTATAGTCCAGGCTGGCATCTAACTTACAATCCTCCTGCCTCAGCCTTCTGAGAGCAATATGCAATTGCATCCAGCTATTTTTAGGATTTTTAACCACCTCTAGGTCATAGGTAAGTAGCCTTAGGTGTGACTTTAAAAGATTTTTTTTTTTTTGGTACTGGGGAGCAAACTCGGGACGTTTTGCTTTTGAACCACTGAGCTTAAATTCCCAGTCCTTAAAATATTTTAAAAATATAGATAATAAGTGTTTTGTAGCATACAGGGAGATTTCTAGCAGTCATGGCAGTTTTGTATCTTAGTAGCCTTCTAGAGTATTCTTTACTTAAATCCTCTTCAATCCAGATATTTCATGCTTAAGTTTCCTTTTATCTTTTTAAGATTTTCTTACACAAGGTAATAAAAATGTATCATAAGGTTTTATACAAAACAGATAAGCATCAAAAATGAGTATACATGAATGAGATTTTATTGTGTATATTTTGAAAATTAAAAGCATATGGCTAATACCACTCACCCCCATAGTGTTTTCTCAACTTGTTTCTAAGGATGCTACGGAGTGTGGTATTGATTAATAGTTTTTAAATAGATTTGGGAATTAACTGCACATTAATAAACTAGGGAAGTCTGTAACTTTTCAGAATTCTTTGGCTGTAGGAACACATTTTCCATAGCACTCCCCTTGTGTTAGTACCCTCTACACACCTACAAGTCACACCACCTCACCATCCTAGACTGTTTTTTGGATATGCTGATACTTTTTTTCATGCTAGTCTTTTATCTGACTTCTTTTTGCTAAAAATTGAAGTTAATTTTTTTTTCTATTAAAAAAAAGTGAAAGCCAGGCGTGGTGGCGCACGCCTGTAATCCCAGCACTCGTGAGGCTGAGGCAGGAGGATAGCTGTGAGTTCGAGACCAGCCTGAACTACATAGTGAGTTCCAGGTCAGTCTCAACTACACAGCTGAGACCCTGTCTCAACCCCTGCCCCCCAAAACAAACAAACAAAAAAGTGACATGAAAATCTGGCATTACACTGTACAAGATGTAAGGTGTTTTGATAAGTAGTGCCTCCTCCCTGAAGGCTGGTACAGTTGTAGACCCGTCTACACCCTTAGAGAACTCACCTCTACCTTACTATCAGTACTGGCTCCTGTTTTGGGGGTGTTGGGCATTGAGCCATCCTCTCACTTGGTATTGCCTCTTCTCATCTCCTGTCAACATTTTAAGTTCTTTAATAACAAATAAGATAATTTTTAAACTGTTTTTTGAAATATAAATTAAAAATGTGTTTTTTAATTGTCATTTTTAAAAATTCATAGTCTGCCAGATGTATGGGTGAATGAGAGTGAACGACATCAGTTAAAAACTAAAGTAGTTCATTTATCAAAGCTACCCAAAGATACTGCCTTGCTTTTGGACCCAAACATATACAGGTAATTTATTTCTTGACTTTATCTTTTACTTTTTGAATTTCAATCTTTAGTCTTTCTAAGGCTTGGATAATTTAGGATTTATTTTTGAATACAGTTTGAATGTTCTCTAGCTAAAGTACTTAGGACCAGAGGTGTTTTAAAAAATGGGGATATTTTCACAGACATTACCCAATTGAACAGCTCTAATGCAAAAATTTATAATTGTTCAAAAAGCTTCAGATTTCAGAGCATTTTGAACTTAGTCTTAAATGTGGGATAGTTAGCCTCTGTTGAATATTGGTACCACACATGCCTTTATGTTCTCGTGCTTTTTTTATGTCACAGAATTATAAATCATAAAATTCAGACAATATTTTGGTAAACCTTCTATTGATGGCTAATTCCAGATTTATGTGAAATTAAGTACCTTATGATTAAGTATGTAGTAGTTCTTTGTGTTTTACCAGCCTTGAGGACCTGGAAATTTACCACTTGTCCTAAATATCACTAACTAGTTGCCTTTTTAAAAAAACCTACACTGTCCCTAAACTTTTCCCGAGAGCTGCATTGAGTTGATGCAGAGGCAGCCAGGTGCTCCGACTCCCTGTCAGTGGCTGTGCACCTCACAGCTCTCCCTGCCAGGTCCTGCCCTGCCCTCAGCAGCCTGCCGCTGTCTCCACTTTAACGAGAGGTTGGATGGTGTCATCTGCCCAAAGCTGTGTGGACGGTATATGGCCAGGCTGCACTGTCTCTGTCCACGTGACAGGCCCCAGTGTGACTCACACTGCTGAAAATGCTTAAGACTAGTTTCCAAAGGCTAGTGAAACAGCTGTAAATATTTTAAATGAAATTATAATTAATGTTTTACATAGGAATAGGTTGAACTGGGAATAAGATGACAGATAATTGAGTTTTTTTGT